ATAAAATATATTTTCAAAATAATAAAAATATATATGTTCATGAACATCCAAAAATTTATCAGTGACACTTATATTCTAATATTTTTTAGAAATTGACATATAATTTGATAAATATTATGAAAACACATGTATATTTAAGCGATAAATAAAACTAATTTGATTTGACTTAACTAAAATAAAGAGTAAATAAATATTCTGAAAATACATGTATATTTAAGCGATACATAAAAGATTAAAACTAATTTGATTTGACTCAACTAAAATAAAAAGTAATTATGCGTCAATTTTAATTTAAAAATATATTTAACTCAATATACTCACAAAATGAATGACTTGACTAATCTAATTTATATCCAAAATTAAACATCCAAATAAAATAAGAAAATAAAATTTATTATAATAATAATAATAATGATATATTTAATTTTATACATATAAACTAGAGGTTGATTCAAAGCATATTAAAAATGAAAAAGAAAATATTAACCAATTACAATTTAATTCTTTTGTAGAATTTATATATATGCTGAGACTTCAAAATATTATTATTATATTCATTTATGTAATTTTGAATCAAACACTTTAGCTTATTATATATTTCATTTTAAGCACAATATATATTAAGTTATACATAATTAAGCCATATTATATTTACATATCTAAGACAATAACCAACCGAAATGAAAATAAGAAAATTAAACAAAATTTTATTATATTTAGAAAAAAAAAACATTATAGCTGAAACTCGAAAAATAGATATTATCCAATATATCAAATTGATAACCAAACCGACTATTGATACAAAAAATAATTAAATCGACAATAACATATCCAAAGTCATATGTATAATTAGAATAATATAATATTTATTAATATAAATTATACATAGAAATTGATTCAAAAGTAAAAGTAAATATCAATCAATCCTTATAAAATTTTATTTTTATTAATATTCATACCCGTGCATGAGCACGGGAAAATCACCTAGTAATCGTAAAAGTGTTTATTATATTTTTTGTTTGGTCATATGGAGATATATGTAAATTTACTATTTTTTAGATTCACATTTGATTGAATTTGGGGAATAAAAACATAGTTCATTCATATTATATCGACTGAGAGATTTTAATTATCACAATGTACAATAATAATATGTAACGAAAAAGTCTATAGACTGATCAACTAATTAGCCTGCAAATTTTAGTTTCAGATTTTTTTTTAACCCTGAAACATTCATTCTATAATAAGTTCATTACCAATCTGGTCAATACATAGATGTATAAAAATACACCAGTACAAAATATGAAATTGTAAAAGGCTATATAGATACAAGTAGGTATCATTCAATAAGAAGAATGTAATAGACCTCAAACTTTTCCAGTCTAGGAGATCTTTGTTTAGGTGAAATAGAGTTGAGGTAAGAACCACAAATAGTCAGTACTTTAACGCCAAAACTTTTTAGGTTTTTGTGACCTCCAAGAACTGAAGTAACTAACATCATCTTCAATCTCACTTCATAATTTTACTGTAAAATAGAGTGGGAAATGAAGTAGTTAACAAACAAAAAAGTCATTACTCCATTTATAGAATAATCACTTTTTTTTGTTTGTTCATTAGTCCATTTCTAACTTCATTTTACAGTAAATTGTGTAATAAAGTTAGAGATACTTAAGAGCTGGAGCACCAATTGGTTTGCAAGGAACTCAAAAAACTCAGCCGGAGATTAGACATCAAAATCTGGACCAAACAGTTGGATGAAGCATTCCTCATAATATTCTGATCAAAATCAAAACCAAAAGAACACTTAATAGATATATAAAAGTATTGTTGTTTCTCCATAAGAAGATCACACCGTGGACCTTCCAATCCGGTAACAAAGCCAAATCTCATTACAAAACAATAACATCCCAATGATAATAACATGTGCCACATCGCTGCTAGAACAGCACAGACCAAAGAGGAGAAAATACGACCACGGTCGAAATGTCTCCAGTTCCGTCTCGATTCGTCCTATCATTCGAGTTTTACGATAAAAAACGTAAAACTTTGTTTTCTCGAAAAGGACTCGAGGAAATCGTATAAAACGGAAACGGTTAAACGAAACACCGAACATTGCCTAAACTATACGATTTATTCGAGATTTTTCGTAAAAATCGTAAAAACGCGTTTTTAATAAAAAGCGTCGAGTGAATCGTAAAAACGACAACGATTAACCAAGAAGCAAACGTAGCTAAAACTTTACGATTAACTCGGGGAATTTACTAAAAAAACGGCATCGAATCAGGAAACGATCTCGTATAAATTCGTAAAATGGATTTATCGCAAAACGGCCCGAAAGGTCCTAAAACGCGATAAAAACCCATCTCGCGATCTTAACGAAATCTAACCCGAAGATACGATAACAATTTGATGGTTAACTCACAGAAGGAAGATAAATGTCAAGTTTGAAGATAAATGGCAAGTTTGGAGATAAATAGAAGATTTCCGCGGGAAAAAAAAGAAGGATCGAGATATATGGAAGATTCCCAATAAACTCGAATTCGGGAAAATGAAAAGACTAAAACCGCCTAGGAAGGAGTATATAAGCAAGAGGCATAGAGTAGAAGCAGGGACACGATTTTCAGAGCTTTCACCACCAAATTTAGCATTTAGGAATATTTCCGTTTTCTGTTAGCGAGCTGCGTCTCAACTAAGGGTTTCGGTCTTAGACTTCTAGAGTTAGGGATTTCGCCGACGGCTCACGCAGCTAAGGCCACTCTCGTTGTAGCAGTTCTTACACCGATTCGGAATAAAAACCTTTTTGCTCTCAATCTCGTTCATTTCACATTTTAATTTTAAGTTCATCGTTTTCTTAATTATCGTTGTGCGGTTCTGCAGATAGCCGGGTCCTCTGGAAACTTAGGGTTTACTCAAAGTTTCCTTATTTACGATTCATTGACAGTAGGTGAATTTCGGTTCCCACAGTTTGGCGCTAGAAGGAGGGGGGGGGTCGGATCTATCTTACACTGAAGCCGCAACATGTCCAACGAAGAAACGATGACCGGTGACCAACAAACTCGCAACGAGCTCGACAACGTTAATAAAACACCACCACCACAAGATGCGCCCGCGGCCAACGCTACAAACGCTAACGCCGAGACCATTGAAAAGATACTTTCCGAATTTAACAAAAAATCGGAAGAGCAGGAAAAGCTCATTGGTTCGCTCGCAAAACGGGTTGAAACCCTAACTGCGAAAACCAGAGCAATTCGCCCCCGTGGAACTACTAAGATCCGCGGAAGGAGGCTCGATTTCGCGACTCCTTTTGGATCGCCACAGAACCGAGCAGGGTAACTTACCGGAGAGGGATTCCGGAAAAGATAACCCTGACGCGACGCTAGCTGAATCGGAAAAACCTCCTACTCGCGAACAGGAGACCGAGGGCGACGGCATCGAAAGGGTTAACCTGGAAACGAGCGACCAAGCCGACTCGTCAGCCGAGGACGCTGACGTCCATCCTAGGAGAAGAAAAACTTGCAGCCCTCCACCAGAGTCTTCTCCCGAGCGTTCTCTTACTGGAGACGAGGAGGAACTCGACTTTGCGCGATACGCAAAAACTACCGAGGAGCGATCTTCGGTTACTCGCAGCAAAAGCCGACGAGGTCGGAAAACTGCGGGCAACCTGACCGAGATTCGTGATCTCCGCGATTACATCACTAAAATGGCCGCAGCGGTAAAAGTGGTGAAATCTCAGATTCATCACGCTACCAGCGCCACACCCGAAATCGATCGGCTATTGTACGAATCTCGGAAAATTCCCTTCACGGCTCGCATCACCGAGGTCAAGCTGCCTGATCCCGGGAAACTTAAGGTGCCAACTTACGATGGGACGTCTGATCCCAAAGCGCACCTGCAGGCCTTCCAGATCACCATAGGACGAGCCAAACTCAAGGATCACGAAAAGGACGCAGGCTACTTCCGTCTTTTTGTCGAAAACCTAGAAGGAGCAGCGCTCGAGTGGTTAATTTAGGCGGAATTCGATCGGAAGTTTCCGCCAACTCGCTTCCAAATTCCTGAAGCAATACTCGATGTTCATCAATCCAGAAATCTCCGACGCTGATATCTGGAGCCGGTCGCAAAAGGAGGACGAATCACTCTGTGATTTCATAAGCAGATTCAAACTCGTCATGGCTAGGGTTAGCGGAATCAGCGACAAGGCCGCCATCGACGCGTTAAGGAAATCGCTTTGGTTCAAATCAAAGTGCCGCAAATGGATAACTCTCGAGAAACCACGGACGATCCAGGACGCGCTCCATAAGGCTACCGATTACATACCCATCGAGGAGGAGACTAAAATCCTGCCGAGAAGCATAAGCCGACGAAAACATCCGCAAAGGATAACGCGTCCGAGCAGAAGCAGAAAAAGAGGAACTCTCATCACGACAAGTTCGTCCATCACGAGGGGCAGGATCTCCAAGGGGCGCACAACTACGCCATTAATTCCGGATCAGAACAAGGGCGAACTACGGGAAACACGTGGACGAGAAATTCGAATTACGATGAGAATACTTTCTGCGACCTCCACCAAACCCGTGGACATTCTACCGTGAACTGCAAAGTTCTCGGCGCCAGGCTTGCAGCAAAACTGATCGCTGGAGAACTCTTTGAGATACCCAGCGTCAAGGATCTCATCCGCGATTCAGACCGCCTCCCAAAAAACGACAGGAACTCGCGAGCGGAAACTCCTCCTTAGGGGAATCAGTCGGGCGAAAAACGCGGACGAAGGCAGACGAGAAGGGCAACGACGCTAACCGCCAAAAATCAAGATGACACTACAAGAAAATGCCACATAGATAACATCGGAAAAACGCTATTATAGCGAAACACAGCGTTATGGCGAACGCTGTGTCTGCCCCCGCAATCTTTTCTTCAGCACTTTAGATAACGTTTTTTCGTATGCAATATTAAAATATAGTTTGATAGCGTTTATTTTTTATGCAATTATATAACTTATAATAGCAGGCAATAATTGCTGTAATAACATTATTAAAAATTAAAAAAAAAATTATAAAATATTAAAATAGAGATATAAATATATTTGAATTTTTATATATTGAAATTGTTTACAAAATAATCTAAACCAAAACTAAATCAGAAACCTAAACCTAAACATTATCCTGCCGTCTTCAATCTTAGGCAACACCAGAGCTCTTCTTATTCTTCCTCCTCTGCTTGTGAATGATTAGGAAAATCAGAGTTTCTTGTCTTCTCATACTCAACCATACGCTTATCAGCCTTGGGGAGCCTTCTCCTACAATATTGTACAACTCAAAGGTCAAGAAGAATGTAACGTCCTTTGTGGCTTCGGTGGCAATTAGATCAACGCAATACATAACTATAATAAGCTATAGATTAGAGAACGTACAGAATTAGACAAGGATTTCAACTTCTCTGCACCAGCTTTTCCAACCTGTTAACCATTCAATTTCATAGTGAGTATATAGCTATCCTATAGTACAACACATTAAATCGAAACCAAAGCAAAGAAGGTAACACTCACAGCAGCAACAGACTTGTTGTTAGGATGTTCCTTCTTGTAAGTCTAACGGAAGTCCTCTCTTCAGGTCAAAAAGCCAGACACAATATTAACACACACCATAGATCAAATCGATTGAGGATCATATCCAGTATGTAGACTCGAACCCCCTCTAAAACAAAACAAGTAAAGGCTTAATCTTTGGCAAGAAACAAAAGGGAAAACATAAAAACCCACTTACACAGATACACTTACAAGTTACAACTTCAGCTCCTCGTTTTAGAGAGTCCTTCCCAACGTCTCCCTCACAATCCATCCAAAGTTTCTTGGAAGCCTTGACAAACTAGAAAGCCAACACAAAGAAACACACTTGAACAACCAATATATTTGTGGCTCGTTACAAGCCTTTTCATAGAAAGGAGATGGCAGCCAAGATGGGTTTGGGATGTGGATTTCATCTGGTCTTTGAAGAGTAACACTGGAACCTACATAAAGATACAAACTTTAAGGTCTTTTTTTCAGATCTGTTGTTAAGGGAAAGAGAATCTTGAGAGGGAGAGAGAGAGAACCTGAGGAGCAGACATGAGAGGAGATTGAGAGTGAGGCGAGCTGTCGATCCAATATAGGAACCTCCTGTTGTTGGGAGTGCTGATGGCGAGACGGAATCGAAGGGAGTGCTGGTGGTGACGAACGCGACAGTGGTGGTGATGGTGGTGAAAAACACGGCTCGTGATGGAGAAGATGAGAAGCTTGTCGTCATCTTCGTCCATCCTTGAGTTCGTCTCCTCCATCAACCACTATTACCAAGAACAAAACAAATCTGATTCAGAGAGAGAGAGAGAGAGAGAGAGAGAGAGAGAGAGAGAGAGAGAGAGAGAGGTTACCTGTGGTGGTGGTGGTGACGAGAGAGACGGAATCGGAGGGAATGCGACGAAACCCTAACCCGGTGGCGATGGAGTACGAACTCAGGCCTGTCTCTTCTTCTTCCTCTTGCAATCTCTCATCTCTCATCTCTCTGTCGTCGTGTTTCAGAAGTCAAAAGGAGAGTAGAGGATAACTTAAAACACAATCTCCACCTTTGGATTAAAAACCATTAAAGGTAGAGACTGCAATCCTTGTGTATTACTTTCAACCAATAGAAAATTTTCTTGCAAATATTTAAAGAATAAATATTTATGTTTATGATTTTAGGGTTTGTAATTTAGGGATATAGAGTTTAGAGTTTTGACTAGTGAAAAAAAGAAGAGGATTAACAAAAGAATAATATTTATAAAAGTTTTGTTTAAAAAAAATTATCATTCATATTTATAAAATTAATGATATATAACTGTAATGTAGTGAATAGCTAGATTTATTTTTTAATAAATAATTGGAATTTAAGATTTGGTGTTTGAAAAGTATACTTTGATTTATAAAAATTAATTAAGGTAATAATTGAAAGTATAAATGTTTTGGAGTTTGGAATATATAAAGTTGAGTTTATAGTTAAAGGTTTAAGATTTAATGTATAACATAGGGTTTGAATATATGTTTTATTGTTTGGTATATATGATTTAAGATTTGAAGATTTTAGTTAGAGGCTATGGTATATCATTAATTTGGGGTATGCTATAGGTGTATAGTTTAGAGATTGAAGTTTACATTAAATATTTGAAACTAAAATTTCAAAAATAATAAAGTTAAATTTAAACTTGAAATTTGAAACTAGATTAAGAAAATATTGAAGTTCTAGGGTTGTGTTTTGAACTTTAGGTTTTAGAAATTAAGGTTTGGGGTTTAGATTTTAGTGTTTAGGGTTTGGGGTTTAGATTTTAGTGTTTAGGGTTTGGGGTTTTTGGAGGCAAATGAAATAAAGTGAGAGGGAAAATGAAATGAAGGTGAGAGGGAAAATCACTCATTTTTCCGCCTCGGTAAAGATAGCATTTTAACGTGCAATGATATTATATATACAATTTTTTATAGCATCGAGGTAAAAAAACGCTATCTTAAATTATGAGTTATGTCTAAGATAGCATTCTCGACCAAAACACTATCTTCTTATGCTATCTTTGTCCCCTTCCCTTGTAGTGTGATTATCGGTGAATCGCAATATTACAACGACACCGTCTCGTCTATCAAATCCTACCAACGCAAAGCTGAAACCGGCTCAAGTTGGAAGGTGCCGTCGGATGACACTCCAAAAGGGGTAATCTCATTCGACGACGCTGAAACCGGCGGAATCGACCAACCTCATACCGATCCCCTTGTCATCGACTTAGTAATAAGAGATTTAGAGGTCGCTCGAATCCTGATCGATACCGGAAGTACCGTCAACGTGATCTTCCGCAACACGTTAGCACGTATGGGAATAGAACTCTCGGATGTCGAACCTATTCCAAAACCGTTGACCAGCTTTTCCGAGGAGACATCAATGACCTTGGGATCAATCAGGCTACCAGTGGCGGCTAAAGAAGTGACGAAAATCGTCAACTTCGCGGTAGTCGATTTCCCGGCCATCTACAATGTGATCATGGGCACGCCTTGGATAAATTCCATGAAGGCAGTTCTATCGACGTATCACTTAGACATCAAATTCCCGACTCCTATGGGAATCGCAGCAATTTGGGGATGCCAAAGAAAATCACGATCCTGCTTCATGGCCGAACACAAGCTGAAACAATTGGCGGTCGCAATCGTGAAACCAAAATGGGCAAAGGTTACGCCACCGCCCACGGAAGGCGACCCAAAGCAAGCAACGGTCGAGAAACAGAAAATTTCCGCACCCATCGCTTCTACCCAGCCGGAGGAGAAAAGCCCGGACAAAGACATCGATCCAGCAACTGAAGTGATCAAAAAGTCTGCGACAGTTGAGTAAGCATACCCGCACAAACAACCACAACTACGAGATGGATTGATTTCCGAAAGGAATACGTAGGCAGCTCGCCTAAAGACGAGTTCAGCTATCCCCCCCTTCCAAAACGGGGGGGGGGGGGGGGGGGGAGTGGGTGCGTATACGAGTATTCGTATACTCCCAAATTTTTAGAACTTTCGCTTTGTAATTGAAAAATTTTCGAAACTTTTTAAAGAAGGAAAAGTTAGAAAATTATAAAACCTCCGCTCCTATCGAAAACGAAAAAAAAAATTCTAAACATCCGGAAATCACTTCCGCAGTAACAACTACTTAATCGTTTCTACGAAACTCGTACACCAAAATATTTTCGGAAAGAACCGGTGAGACGTCGCCTAAATTCTCAAAAAAAGTATTTCACTAAGTCCGTCTGCGACTATAAAAACATGTACGCTCGGCGATTGGCCCCGTCGAGCACGCTAGCCGTCTTAAACAAACGCACCGACCTATTGGCCCGCATACATCCGACTAGGATAAAATAGCGCGTTATAAAAGAAATCCAAATTTTTGGTCAGCACTTCCGGGCAACTTAGATATTGTTCCCGGTGAGATGCTCGATTCCAACCATACGAATCGTATAAGCCGAGAACCTATCGCGGATTCTAAATCGGTATCGAATCAGGTTAAAATCGCAACAGGCAAAACGAAAGCCGACTCGTCATCGCATAGCCTCAATCCGAAAGTAAACCTAGGTCTTGCCTTGAACCCAGCACACTGGTCTCTAACGTCTCAAGGCATGAATCGAGATCCTAAAGGCATGTCTCTTCGCCCACATCTAAACACTCGCGAAAATCGAAACCTTCCGTGTTAACGAACCGGATGATTTACACCAAGAGTTAGATGCGAGACGACAACTCGTATTCTTCCCTCTACATCTAAAACAAAACGCAAATTTCATACTTAGAAAATATTTCATATTAGAAAGTCTTCAAATACACACCGCCCAACGGTAGGGATTCAAAGCCACCAATAGCCAGTCCCGGAAAAACAACAACGAAATCATTAAAGCAATAACATCACACATCATCAAGCGCAGACGCCGAACCCTGGCCAACGTTAGCATTAAACCACGTTTGGTCAACTTCGCCGTCCGCATCCGGAATCTCAGGTTCGATTTCGACCGAATCCGGCGACACCACGATGGGGTTCCACTGATCCCACATGCGCGCCCTAAGATCAAAAAATTTGGATTGCATGTTTCTCTTCTGATTCGGGTGCCCCCTCTGCGCGGAATATTCTTTGACACACGAATACCCTTCATTCTGGGTAAGAGACAGCCCATGAACAACGCCACGGCATTCACGATAATCACCATTCGCCCGTTGAGAAACTTCAGCGTTCGAATAACCAGTTGCAAATCGCTCAAGACGGGCCTTCATCTCCTCAGCAACCTCTCTTTTACCTGCACGACGAGCACGACGAATTCTTTGGTCAGAAAGCTCCCTGGCGCGGCGAGAGCTAACTGCACACTCATTTCTCACGCGAGCTATCTCCCTCTCAACCATTTCTTCAGCTTGGTTAGTCTCAACCACTGCGCGAAGGCGAGCAACTTCTTTTTCGGCCATATCCGCTCGAAACTCGGCAAGACGAGCTTCAGCACCACAACTATCTAGGCCACGGCTCATGACCAAGAAACCCTGCCAAAGAAAATAAATAAGCGGAATTTTCCGATGATAAAATCGCGCGAAAAATATAAACACACGAACCTCTTTAGCTTGTTCAGACCATCTAGTAAACTGCGGAACTTGATCAGGATCAGCGCCCGGAAAGTTGGAGGTCGACAATCCACCCGCATTCGCCCAAACACCTTCTTCCGCTTGGCTGTCAAGGAAGTCCTTGAGAATATTTTCGGGAGAGGCCGTGCGTTCAGATTCGTCATCTTCAACAACCAAATGTTTATCCCCTCGAGATCTCGACTTACCCCTCCTCGTTGAGGGAACGTACGGAATAAATTCTCCTACGAACGGATCGTCTTCACGAATCGGAGAATCCGCGAAAAGCCGATATCGGAAGAGAGCAACCGCCTGGCGGACACGCTGTGAAGAGAAACTTCCCCAGCCAACTTCACCGTGTTTGAGTGAGGCAGTGATACTCGGGAGATCCACCGAATGCGGAGGTAAAGGGTTGGTCTCTACGGAAAACAAAAATGAATAAGTAAAAAGTAGGAAATTCGTATGAACTCGAATCACATACCTTTCTGACCCCACACGGTCGTGAAGAACGGAATGCAATCCTCCTCGACTGACGCGCTATCAATACGAATATAGAAGAAATTTTTCTTTCAAGAAGAAGAGTTCGATGAACAACCAGTAACGATTTCTGCACAAAGGCATAAAGTGATCCTCCGCGTCTTCTCTGTGGGCTTCAGTAAACCTTCGAGATGGTCGACGCTGAGGGTGATTCCCTGCTCATAGCTCAACGTCAAGAGACCAACGAGTTGTTTTAGGCCTAGGGGAGTCAACTGACTAATCGATAATCTCAGCCTATGAAGATATCGAACAATGATCTTCGGGATCGGAAACCATAAAGGGCATTGCTGCAAAAATTCATTGTAGCACGTAAAAAAGCTATCAGGCACAGCCTTGTCACTCTCCCCGGCAAGTGGGAGGCGAAACTCGATCGCTTCTGGAACTCGGCAAAATTCCCGCATGAATTCAATATTGTTAGGAGGAGCTGAGTTCAGACGTTCAGGAGCTCGATAAGCATCCGACAGAGCTGGAACCCAATAAGCCGCACGATCAATTGGACCAATCGATGGAAATGGGTACTCCTCTTTCGGAACCGAAATATGAGGTTGCGAGCTCGTTCCCTCGGAGTTACGAGAATCAGAACTGGTTGAGGAACAAGTTCTTCTTTTTGAAAACATACTTGAAAACTTTGAGAGAAGAAAACTTAAAGGAAGTAGAGAAAAACTTTTTCTTGGATAAGTTATGGAGAGTGAAGTAAAGAATTCAAAAATTTACCCCATATACTTATAGGAGAAAGTTTACTATTCACTTTTGGACCTTTGGCCATCAAAGTTCCGCCTAATTCTACCAGACTCGCCAAACAAGTTCAATCCGCTCGCAAGAACTCCACGATTCCTACGAGCTGGGGGGCTAACAGTTGGGGTCAAAATCGGTACGACGGAATCAATAGCCAAAACTCCCCGCAAAAAAAAAAA